GTCCTCCGTGGCCTCTCTGGGTCCACTCTTCGGCTGCGGCGGCACAAAGGTGCCCCCGGGCTCACTGGCTCCGGGTCCGGCCTTGAGCACCACTGCCGGCGGCGACTTAGTTGCCGTGACCTTCGGGGTACTCGGTGCAGCGGGCGTCGACGGCGTAGCTGGCGGTGTAGCGGGCGCCGGAATGGCTGCCGCGACGTCCGGGTGCGGTGTAGTCGGCGGGGGCAAAGGAGGCGCAGTGTGACCAGGTGGTGGTGGACCTACCGGCTCCGGGGGCCGCAGGCTCCCCGTCACCCATGAGCCAGCCGGTCCCATGATCGCCATAGCCTTCGCCTGTGTGCGTCCATCTGGTCGGTGTGGTCCTCCTCCAGCAGGGCCAAGGCTCAGTGCCCTGAGCGTGGGCGGCACCGACGTGCTCCTGTCCAAACCGCTCGAACCCGACGATCTGGATCCGAGCTCAACTCCCTTAAGGTAGTTGGTGGCCATGGCGCCCACGTCCAAGATCGTCTTCTGATCGAATCTCTCGCCACATCTCACGCACTGACCTCCACAACGCATACCTTCCCAGGCTCGGTGGGCGTCGTAGTGGATGAGGGCGTGCTGGCTCTTCCTGTTGCTGAGCATACAGGACAACAGCGTGCCAGCGGCTACGCTCCTGTGCCTGTTGGAAGTGCAGAAGAAGAGGATGACGATGTTCTCATTCGGCGGGGTGGAGTCGATGTCCTGCAATGCCCTATAAAGGTGCATTGCGCCGTTCCGGTTGCTGAGGAACTGCTTGATGATCTCCGGGTGGCGCCCCAGGCATCCACCATACCTGCCTTCGCCCGGGTTGCCGATGTTCCTGAGATCGTAGACGAAGAGGCGCCCCGTCTGGAACTTCGGGTCGAGCCAGGGCCGCCAGGTCGCAGGCTGCTTGAACTTGTCCTGCCACCAGTTTTCGTCGGGGCCGACGTAGTACTTGATCCCCGCGGTCAAAATCGTGATCCGCGGATGGGCTCCCCTAATGTTGACGTCGTCGTTCGTGGGGTGCCACTCAATGCCGTTGCCGACAGTCTCGGAGGGCCACTTCGCTGTCCTTTCCACCATGGCTCCCTGGTCCAGAGGATCCAGAAAAAGCAAGTCGGGATTAACCTCGATTGCCGAGTAGCCCTTAGGGGCTACTCCAGGATCGCTCTGCGGGGCTTTGTACGCTGTAGGACTACTTTCCTTAGTAGGTCGTTTGATCCTACAAACATCCATACACTTCGGAAGCGGTTCAGACCTAATATGAAAGCATGACAGATTGATAAGCAAAAGACCAGTATCATTGCATCTAGCAAGAGGAAGTGACTGCTGGTTTCCGTCTTGATCCACAATCCAACACACACACATCGTTTCATGTCTTTCACAAGGCCGAGGGTGCTTTGGGCAAACAAACTGATCAACAGGGGATTCAGTGCATCGGTGTCTACTTCGTGGGTTTCGAGTACACCGGCTAGGGTCTCGCCTTGATCCCCAAGTTGGAGGCAAACGGGCAGCTTCCGCTTACCTATGGTTTTGGTGGTCGCCCCCAGGCCTGAGAAGCTCCGGGTGTTGGAATTTAGCCAGGGGAAGGTAAGACCGAAAGCCTTTAGGCGAGCTTCCGTCTGGATAGCCCAGGTCTTACTATGGCAAGTGGAATTGCAACCTTCATCCAAGGCTCCCCAGATATCGGGCTCATCTGGGTCCCACATGTCTACATGGGGAAGGTTGTCGACAGGGACTAAGTCAGTGGGAAGGGAAGCCACGAACCCTGACTTAGGAATCCCGGTCCTTGTCGAGGTGGAGGACGTCTCCAGATCGTCCTCTTTGAGCGTCTTCCGATCGCCCTTGCTGCAGTCCACCGTCCAGGTAGTAGAGCTCGTAGTCGAAGTAGAGTTCCTTGCGCAGGAGCCACGCCCTACTCCCATACCTAGCCCAGACTTAGGCAGGGGTAGGACATGATCTGGCAAAGTGCCTAGATCTAGGTCTGGACTAACCCCTAGACCCTTCTGCAGACACTCCGGCGCAGGCATCCGGGCGTCTTCGAGCGCTACCTTCTTGTGCTCAGAGAAGAGGTCACGGACGATCCTCTTCCATCTCTCCAGGATATTTTCTTCTCTGGAGAGGATTGCTGGGTCGATGACTCCAACATGTGCGACTCTCGCCCAAGAGTCAGGACTACCCCCTGGGCTTGGTTCGTCGTTGCTGAGCATACGACTTCGGCTGATCGCTTCCTTGAGTCGACCATGCATGACATTCGGGGTCATACTGATCCCCATAGCCATTGACTCCATGATGTCGTCGGTGAAGATGCTGAGGACGGACTCGACCTCGTCGGAGTTGAGTTCGCGGGTCGCATCTTCCGAAGTGGTGTACTGGATCATGGAGAGGGCCTCTTCCGTGGCCGCCAAGGCCTGCTCTGCAGCCTTCCTTCTTTCCTTTTGGAATTCGGCGGGCACCTCGTCCACGAAGGTTCCGCACTGCTTGCAGAACGTGCGGGAAACCGATCGTGAACTGCCTCTACGATCCACCACATCATGGGGACAGGTCGCCGGGTCGTGCGTGTAGGTGATCTGACGCGGCTCTTGGCTCACGTTACCACAGTCCCGGCACGTCTTCCTGAGGATGTTCATGGTCGAGCCTAGGTGCGAGAAGTCGTTGCATCCCTGGGCACAGCGCTCCAGTGGAGGATTCGGGGGCTTCTTGCTCCCCTTCTTGTTCTTCACCCGGGGCACATAGTGTCCCTCGGGAAGACCTTCGCCAGCTCGTGTGACCACCTCGCCGTTCTGGATGGTGTAGTATCTCGAGAACCAGGCCAGGAAGTCTTGGAGTTGGCGACTCGGGTTCGTCTGAAGCTGGGCCCAGGTGACGTACTCAGCGTTCAACGCCACTTCAGCATAGGTCTTCCCTCGGTGCTGACCGAGGTAGAACTTCCTATCTCCACCTTCCATCTCCATCGGGATCGGCATGGGTCCCGTTGGGTACCCTGGTGCTGCAGCCTTGCTCCTTGCTTTCGAGACTGCACCAGCTGTGGCGCGCACAACATAGCCCGATGGGTCTATGTCCGGTGTGCCAGACGGTATGTCGAATCCGTCGGGGCGACTCAGGTCCGCACGTGCCATGACAGCTACGTTGGCGGCCTTTCCACCGGACTTGCCAGTTCCGGCAGGGAACTTGCACTCTGGGTCGCCTGCCCAGTGTCCTGTTCCGCCACAGCGCAAGCATTTCGACTTGGCCTTCAGCGCCTTCAGCTTGTCTCGGCGCTGCTCAAGTGTAAGGTGACTTCTGACTACCTTACCTTTCCCTTTTCCGCGTCCTTTCCTTCCCTTGCCCTTGGCTTTGCCGACAGCTGTGTGGGCAGCAAGAGAAAGCTGGATCGCGTGGCCAGCCTCTGGGGTCTGGTCCTCGAAGAGCTCCAGGGTGTTCAACGCGACCGCCTCACGTCGTCCACCTCATACTCCTCAAATTCTTCCTCGACGTCTTCGTCTCCCCATTGCTCTTCAGCGACGTAGGCCTCGGGGATGTAGTCGAGGGGTTCATGGGAGTCCTCCTCTGGGTACTCCTCTTCGGCTATCTCGTCGTCGAAGGCGGCATAGGCTCTTCGAGGGAATCCTCGAGATTTCCCTTTTCCTTTGCCCTTGTAGAAGGGGGTCCTTCCGGTACCCTTTGCTGAGGGCATCGAGCCTCCCAGGGCTCGGCCTTCCTTCAGGTGCACGCCGGTGTAGTGCTCGACCAGGGTCTCGGCAACGGACTCAAAGCCCTCTGGGTCTTTGGTGCATGCTTTAATGACCAGGGACTCCTGTCTAGATAGTCCCGAGAGCTCAAGGAGTAGCTCTACTCGCATCGGCTCCGAAAGCTCGATGGAACTGTCCAGCGTCTTGAGCAACTTCCACCACCGGCGTCGTCGTGAAACGTACGACAGCATCGATTCGCCGGACTGGCGTGACAGGGTACCAGGCCTCTGTCCCACGCGGAAGAGCTCTCTGGCTTCTTCCGCAGCGCGCGGAAATACCATCTCGCGCAGCTTCGCGATGTAACGGCGCAGCCCTCCAGGTGCTGTCAAGGCCTCAACGCCCATGTCACGCGCCAGATCAAAAGCGTCGTCTCGGAGGCCCTCGAGCACGCGATGGACCATTTCCGTTCTCGCCTTCGTGCTCGCCGGCGCCAGCTCGGCGCTTTCCATAGAGAAAACGCGTGGGCTCTTGTCTCCACGCCCTTTTCCTCTTCCGCCTCGGGCGGAGAGCGTCTCGAAGTCGAAGTACGCGTCGTCGTGGGTTGCGCCGCTCTGGGTCGCATCTGCGGCGGGTCGCGGGAGATCCTCGCCATCCTCCTCTCCAGGCCCGTCTGGGTCCTCGCCACCATCGCCGGCACCAGGCTCGGCCTCGGCACGGGCGCCCCCCGCGTCAGAGTCTCCTCTTTGGGATCCCTGACGGGATTGCGCGCTGGCCTTCGCACGGATGGCATCCTCGTAGAGCTTCAGGCGCAAGAGCGTCCTGAACTCCCAGTCATGATATGTACTGGGGTCACCACCGTAGATGTATGACCCGGATTTGGTCTCGGCCATGGAGCTCGAGGAGGTGTTGCGGGTAAACCGCAGGCCTGCCACAGACATGGCAGAGGTCCAGGGAAAAGGAACTCGAGGTCGTAGAAGTCGGAGCTGCGAAGTGGGTCGATCGGCTCGCCCAAGGCCACAAGATCGGTACCTAGGCAGCTGTAGCGGCAGGCCACCTAAGGGTCCTGCTCCGCTACCAGTTTGGATTTCAGTCCAAGACTGGTCGCTGTCAGTCCTGTTTTACTGCATAGCGCACGCGAAGTATGCTACAAGGGGGCCCCCTTGAACCCATATGTAGCAGGGAACATTCACACCCTGGCATGGTTCCATACTATACATAGCCTGGATTCAGACTAAACCCTAAACCCTAAACCCTAAACCCTAAACCCTAAACCCTAAACCCTAAACCCTAAACCCTAAACCCTAAACCAAAACACCCCGCACCGGACGCCTGCTCCAGCAGCGCCAGTCCTTCTTCCCAGTGGGCCTCCGCCAACACGGCCGCCAGGACCGTCCTCTGGAGCGAGACCTCTGTCTCCACGGTTTAGGGTTTAGGGTTTAGGGGGTTGGGGGAATATTGGGGGGTTTTGAGCCCTTATATATATATATATATATGTATATACATCATATAAATATAGATATAAATATAAATATAAATATAAATATACATATACATATACATATACATACCATTGTACACCAGTATTACAGTCTCACGAACAAGAATACTGCAATCAAATTCACCTCGACTGAGTATAGAAAAGTGCACCTGGACAGTCAGGGAGGCCATCTCGATGATACGAGAGGGTTTAGGGTTTAGGGTTTAGGGTTTAGGGTTTAGGGTTTGAGAGATAAAATGCATTCTCACAGCAAGGTTTTAAACTCAAACCGACAAACCATAGCAACAACAAAAAGGTCCCAGGGAAATATGGTTTTTTATTGAGGAGTCCATTGAAGCCCCCCCCCCCTCCCAAACAGCCCATGGCCCGGCAAACTCGTCTCCATGTAGAGGGTGCCCAGAAACAAGCGGGTGCCACACTGTACTATAATTTCGGACATTCGGCCTGTCTGCAATGCTGTTAAACCCCAAAGCCTAAACCCTAAACCTGTTGCCTTACAGAGAGACTGGGGTCCGGGCTACACAATGCAGATTCTCCGGCTCCTGTCGGCAGACTTGGGCTTCGCGTACGCAAGAAGCCGCCCCAAAACCCCAGGAAGTCGTAGACCGGAAAGTCCCAAGACCAAGCCCCCGGCCGTGCAGACCCCGGCCGTGCAGACCCAAGAGCTCCCAAAACCCTTCATGGCCAAGACTCTCACCCCCAGGGTTTAGGGTATAGGGTTTCGGATTTAGGGCTTAGGTTTTAGGGTTTAGGGACCCTTAAATCTAAGAGCCAGCATCTCTGGGGAAGCCTTGTTCGGTAGGCTTTGAGCGGCGCTTTTTGTTGGGTGTACGGCAGAGGGGTTGCCATGTTGAGGTTGCCCTGTAAAGTTCGAAGTCAGAATGCCGACTTTGGGTGCAGCCCTAAACCGAAAAAAATCTGCAGCATGGCTCGAGGGTGTCAGGTAAGCCCCCGAAGCGGAGGCGCCTGCAACTGGGAGAGCGCCCGGCGCCAGCTTCGTGCGGAGACCAGGGAAGACAAGGCCTTGACAACGTGAGGGCCAGGGATTGTTCTTTGCCGCGGTGTGGGTTCAGGGTTCAGGGTTCAGGGTTTAGGGTTTAGGGTTTAGGGCTTAGGGTCGTCAAGCAGACTAGCCGCACTGCAAAAGTGACACTTCGAGATGCCAGACGCTTAAAGCATTCTGGCAGAAAGTGGTGCCTAACTCCCTAAAACTCTCCACTCGGAATCTGTTTACCTAAACCGCAAATACCACAAACCTTGCACAGCTCAAAGCGCTGTGGTGCAGAATTTGCAGAAGAGCAACGGCACCGTGCGTGACGATTGACTTCTCCAGGAAGTTGACCCCCAACTGGAGCAACCTCGGCAAGTGTTTAGGGTTTAGGGTTTAGGGTTAAATTTATGCCCAAGTGCCTCAATGGACATCAGCTACGTGAGATAGGGTCTGCTTGATGAGAATGGGTGTTTCTGGGTAGTTTTATGCCTATTCTTCCAGATTTTATGCAAGGGACTGTGAGGGATGATGCTGGCATCATTCATCAACACTATCTATGCTATCTGTATTCTAGTATTTTATACGAAAATACCATTGTATAGTCTACGAAAAATATAAATAAACATATTTTTTCACAAGGGACTCGACTGCTGCCCTTTCTGCCCAGCCCGGTTTATTTATAAATACATAATTATGCATACATGCATGCATACATACATACATAGATATATAAGTATATATGTACTGTGTTATATCTATATCTATATCTGCATATAAATAATTTATACATTGACGAATTTTTGCATTATGTAGTGCCCGACAAGGCGCAGCCCAGATGCCTTACGCCACTGTGACGCCTTGCCGCTTGCGCTGAGCGCGGCGTTAACTGCCATCCTCAGTGATGGATCGCAAACCCACCCCCGGCCACACACACACACACCAAAAAAAAGGGGGGCAGGTGGACAGGAGCTACTCAGCGTGATACGTACGGGCTCCAACGGCATGTCGTTGCTAATTTGGGGTTTGGGGTAAACCTTTTTCAAGAGACTTCGCCCGGCTCGAAAACTCTAAACCCTAAACCGCAGATGTGGCGCGTGTTCTGCCGCACTCCAGCCAAGCTCAGTTTGCGGAGCAAGCTTAGGCTGCGAGTCCACAGCCACGACTTCCTTGCTTTCGCCAGAGGTTTGTAAGGAGTTTTTCTGGGTCAGGCCTCAGCGTTTATAATAGACGAAGCCTTGGACTTTTGGGTTGGGGGTGTTGCGGGTGCATATGTATATATATATATATATATATGCACGTCTATAATTAATTAGTCAAAAAGGTTTGGTTCGCTCATGTTCACTCAAAGGGTTCTCATCAGTGCGATACGCCGGGTCACTCCAAGGCCCCTAAGGCTGCCGTGAAGGCCATGGCGTCCCCGAGCCGCACGGCGCCCATCTCCTCAAGGGCCTCCACTGCCTCCGCCGTTTCAGGGTTTGGTGCTTCTTTTGTTTTAGTTACTTTGTTAATTATTATTTTCTATTTTTATGTCTTGTTTTTTGGGGGGGAAGGGGGGTGGGGGATGGTGCAACCACGAGTACCGCCAAAACCACAAAACAACCGCCGGAGTGCACAATACTCATCCCTGCTTCTGAGCGTCCGAATACAACTGCCCCCCCTGAACTCATGCACTATACAAAGAGCTGGCCTAGGAACTCACAGGTTGCCTCGCAACCGGAAACATGTCTTGGCGATACTTTAAGAGTGCACGCATCAGGATCACGCAGTTCTCCTCCTCATTACTTGCATTTTATACAGCCTGTGTCGCGCACCTGTGATGAGTCCAAGGTGGTGGCGGAATCGGTATGCAGCATACCAAGGTAATACTGAAGCCACTGATCAGAAAACACAACCATGCCCGCGCTAGCGCCCTCTTCACACCTTTCGGTTTTCGTTTCCCACACTTCCCACACGTGGGTCCAGCTGGACCTGTCGTCGACAAGGATCCCGGGCTCAGGCGACTGTGGCTTTTTCAAGCAGGGCACCACAGTGTCGACATCACCCTCTGCAGAGTCACACTCTAACTCGTCCGCGAAGCTCGCGATTTCACAGGCTTCAAGCTCATAGCCCATATCGTTCACGGTGAGCGCAGCAGATGCGTCTAGCGTTCTCTCAGTCTAAGCGGCCACGCACGGCTGAGGCCGAAAAACCCACTCTCGAATCAGTCTGGGTAGCTACTTGAATCCTTCGCCTCCTGTTCCGCCACCGTCTGCAGAAATGCGAGAAATGGAGCTGGCAACCTCCCCAGGCCGAGGCGCTTTGCAGCGCGACGGGCGTAGGCCAAGTTTGCATCCGCACAGGAGCTCAGGCGTCGGAAATCTCGGGCCCGTAGCCATTGGGTCGGGGGTTTAGGGTTTAGGGATGTTGAAAGCTCTGCTCAACGCGGGTGCCTGCGGCCACCGTAAGGCATCGCCAAAGGCGCCACAGGCGATGCTGTAGCCGGCTGCATCCGGTTCCAACTGCAGCTCCTCGACTCCATATTTGAGTAAAGGGGCTTGCGACATGCAAAGCAACCTCCACTACCACTACCACTGTTACCACCATCACTACCAATGCGACTGCGACTGGAACGATGACGACTACAACTACCACCCCAACCAACAACAAGAAGAACAACAATTCTGCAACAGTAACAGTAATGAGTCATGAGTAGATGCAACGGAAATATAGAAGGTTATTATAGAAGTATCATTTGCCCCGGTGACGTATCCTGGACAAGAGATACAGAGACAGTGCAGGGCCATGCTCCTGGGAGGTGCGCAACACGCAGAGGGCGCCCCGCCACTCACTGGCCCGGCTGCAGCAATCGGCGGCGGCGTTGCGAGAGATGGGATTTCTCTCCTTATTGACGTCCCGTTTACCGAAACCGTAAACCCTAAACCGTGGAATGCCTTTCAGTTCTTACTTTGCCGGGCGCAAGCTGCAAAACCTATTCTGTTCTAGCGGTTGCGACACACAGATGGTGGCCCTTCTGAGTCCTGCTGTTTAGCTTTTTGCCACCTGCCTAGCAACCTCGCAAACACACTGTTTAGGGTTTAGGGTTTAGGGTTGAGGGGTTGGAAGAACTTTTACCGACTGGAGCTGACCCGCATTGTCTGGCGCTGTGTTTGGCGATTGGGGGAGGGCAACTTGCTGACTGCATAGACACGCCACCATCGTCTGCGATGCTGCCCAAGACAACTCTTCATGTGGAGACAGGATCTAATCGCTCACGCTCGGACAGGGTTCAGGGCTTCGGCTTTCAAGGGCTTAGAGTTTAAAGGTTTTAGGGCAGCATCAGAATGAGTGGCATTGCGTGCCGTTTGGGGTTAAGAGAAGCTCAGGTGAGCAGCCGAACTCGGCATCCCTTCGCACAGAAGCACAGGATCCTTCTCATGTGGGTTCATAGATGGTCATAGGTTGTGAGGACTCAGAGAAAGGAAAATGAGGAGCTTTCAGGCACTACAGCCGAGTCCAGGTGTCGATGAACTCCAGCGCGCCGGCCCACTGCGTGCCCAGGGCGCAGGCGCTGATGACGGAGGTGTGGGTGATGGCGTTGGGCTCCACCTCCTCCGAAATCAGCGACTATGCCAGACTCCCCTGAAGTTTCCATCTCCCGTCTCCTCATTCCTCATCAACTCCAAGAGAAAGAGGGACCAGGCCCACTGACCACCTTTCTCACAGGCGCTGATGCTCGAAGACCATGTGACCTCACAGTCTATGCGTCTTTGCAGGCTCTCTTGCATGTGCTCCAAGCAGGGTACTCCACGACTACGCCAAGGGACGACGTCGGGGGTCAGTCTGCAGAGTTGCATCGTCACCAAAGCCTTACCAATAGCCAGCTGTCCACAGCATTCTGCTCAAAACTCCGTTTGGAATCTGTTTAGTGCATGCCATAAGGCTAAGATCAACCTAGCCGACGTCAGCGCACTAACACAGCATTCGCGAAACTTGCGATAGGACCTCCGCTCGGAGGAACTTGGACTGTTAGACTCTAAACTATGCCTTAAACAGCTGAAACCTGCAACCGGATCCGTTCGGCCAAGGCAACCGACAGGGCCAGCTGCCACTGGCCCACGCGCTTGCACGCAGCCAAAGCTGCATTGTAGGTAACGAGGCCAACCTACAGGCACACTTTCGAAAACAAGGCAGGGCTCACAGGGGTTAAGCTTTGGGGTTCCAGTTTGCTGGACTGCTACTCAGACTACTTCAGTCTTTAGAATGCCGAGAGCAAATTTTAAAAGCGATTCCAAACAAGCTGTCTTGCAGTGCGCCTCTGCGCCTTCCGCCCGAAACTGCGACAGGAGGGCCACGGCCACCTGCATGGATTTTGTTGATGCTTTTTCGCGCCGCCCGTCTAGCAAAGCATGGGGTTTGGGGCTTACAGGGCTTTAAGGCCCCTACATGCCAGGATGCTGATCCAAAACTGATACAGTATCCAAAGCCAGGAGAAGCTGCGCTCCCCCGTTCACCCTCACCACTCGCGGCTCCGAGGGCATGGGGCTCGAGGGCAGGCACCACACGAAAAAAAAATTAAGGTAGCTCAGCCTGCCGTGACTCTGTCTCCTGCAAAGCGTGATATCTGCGTCTTCTTTCGAGGGGCTTGAAAGGCCGAAGCCCTTGTGCGCTCAACTCAAAAACCCCGAGAACTGCCGGCCTGTAGCCCAGTGTTATGGGCTATAAAACCCTAAGACCTAAGCCCCAAACCCCAAAACCCCAAAACCCCAAACCCCAAACCCTAGACACGGCCGCATCTCTCTTTGGGGCGCTTCCCACCTTCCAGTGTCCACCCTTATCACAGGCACTGATCGCGGCGCTCTGCGTGTGGCTGCTGCAGTGGCCTGCGACCCGCGTTCTTTGGGGTTTAGGGTTTGGGGTTTGGGGTTTAGGTTTAGGGTTTGCGGTTTGGGGTTTAGGGTTTAAGGTTTGGAGTTTATCCCGTGTCTCAAACTTGGCCTCAAGGCACGACGCGCGGCCGGCAGGAGCAACCGAAGGATCTATGGACTGCCGGTTTGGCTTGGTTTTCAGCTCATAGCGGCCCAACTGTTCCTTTCAATACGTGACCTGATCAAATGACATGATGATGATGGTGATGATGATGATGGTGGTGGTGGTAATCGTGAGGGCGATGCTCATGACGGACTTTCGCTGTTCAAAAAGCGCATTCAGAATGCGTTCGGGACATCCGTGGTCTGGCCGACACCAGCAGGACGTAGCAGCTCCCAGCCTTTCTTTAGGTTTGTTTTTTTAATGCCACCCGCCTAGCTGACACTCAGGCCACATTGCAGGGTTTAGGGTTTAGGGTGTAGGGTCGCTCCGGAGGAGACAGAGAGAAGTCTCACCAGTTTGGGCCATGATGGGCTGAAGGACCCTCAATGGCGCAAGCGAGCTATGGCCTGATCTTACCAAAAGCCACCTGCCAGCTCAAAGCCGGGTTTGGCTTGGGTTTTATATGGTTCTTGATCGGATTGCATAAGGTTTCATAGGGTTTTGTGGGGCCTCACAGGGTTTTAGCTGCCTGCCTGCACTGAGCCCAGCATCGTGGGCCACGGAGCCACCCGACAACTCAGAAAACCCATCCCTCGAAACTCCCCCCAACAATGCACCCCCTACAATTGGCATCATATGGTCTCGGAATACTATCAATGACCAGCTCCATTATGGCATAGGGACCAAACCCCCTTTTATAGGCTTCATGAGGTCCGCCAGATGTCAATTCTCCTTAGAGCCATTTCGGCCCAGGCCTCGCTGTTGAAGAATCCGTAGCAAGGCAAGGGCCACTTGCCACTGGCCCTTCTTCGCGCAGGCGCTAAGCACCTGTCTTCAACAGGGCTTCGAGGCGTGGCAAGGCATTGGAAGTCTACTGGCTAGGCAAGCCGAAACCCTAAACCCTAAACCCTACATAAACCCTAAACCCTAAACCCCAAACCCCAAACCCTAAAACTAAGCGACTTGCAGGCCGCCAATCAGAGGCTGCGGAGTTTTATACAAGCCTGAGGTGCACCCCCCACGATGTTTTTCACACGCCGCGACGCACGAAAAGGGGGTCTAAACGAACCCTGCTCGGGTTTGTGGTCCATCTGGCAACCACAGGGAACACAGTAGCATAGAATGAAGATATACATATATATATGTACATATACATATACATATTAACATACACATTTTCATACTAACATATACATATACATACAGGGCACTCTGTTCGTCCAAGGATCCGAATTCCAAGTGGCAAGGTCCAGGCGCAGCGACGCCGCCTCGGCCCCGGCCAGGCGCGCCAGTGCGGCCGGCCAGTGGGCCCGGGCCGCAGCTCGGATGCTGTTGGACTCCGGCATCCCCACATCCCCACATGAAGGGTTGCTGCTCTGGGACCATGCAACTGGAGCCAATTCATGAAAGCTTCGAATAAAGGGGGTGGGGGGGTGATGACATCACCATTCCAGGTGCCCAAAGAAAACCTTATAGGATCTGGACCCGAAGGGCAGATATTTGGCATCGTAAGCAACCTTCCCGAGCATGTCGAATCCGTGCCTGCTGCTGGCAGCCAGGAACGGCTCTGGAACGAACACGCTGACGTACGTTCAAGGGGAATGTAAGGCCCTGTAAGGCTTTGTGGCTGGGCGTTTTGGGGTTTGGCGTTCTGGAAAGCTGAGCAAGTCAAGGGCTTTACAGGGTCGATTCACTTAGGCCAACGAATCCGCCCACGCCCTTGAACCGCAAACTGGACCCCTTCAGATCCTCGGGCTGCAGGAGCGACAGCTGCGGGTCATCTTTGCAGGCTGCCTGCCGTGCCCCAAGTAGAGTTGGTGATACAAGTACCCCACATTGGGCACCAGGTTTTGGTTTAGGGGGTTGGGGTGCCAAACGCGAACCCTGTCGCGCCTCGATCTGCTCGTACTTGACCTTCTTGCTCTTTGGGGGGGGAGCAGGTTGTGGTGTATTAGTTGCAAGCCATCGCTTCTGAATCGTAGCTTCAACCCCCCGCATTTGTATGCTTCCACCGCAAGACCTTCAAAGCCTCCCAAGCTACCATTTCGAGTATCCTTACGACTTAGTACTGCTGCTACCACTACGAAGGCGCCGATGGCTACTATTGCTACTGCTACTGCTATAGAGCTACTTCTGCTGCTGCTGCAGCCAATGGCTGACCTGGGGGGGGGGGAAGGTGGGGGGGAAGGGGGAAGGGGAAGGGGAGGCGGGGGGGGGGGTGGGAAGGAGGTGGGGGGCTGATGTCGTTCGAGCACCCGGCTGGCCCGTCCCTCGCGCAAGACTTGAGCCTGATTTGGCAGCGCTTTTAGGATTTTGGTTTGCGATGTCTTTGGGCTTTTGTGTGTGGTTAGTTTGTTGCGGGCTTTCTTAGGGGTGAGTTTGAGTACTTGTTTGAGTAAGTGGCATTTGGGGTTGTGTTTTGGCATGTCTAGGGCTCGTTTTCCAGTATGTTTAGGGTTGATGTTGTCCGTATTTAGGGTTGGCGTTTCGAGTATGTAGGGGATACTGCAGGCTGAAGTCATCTGAGGCTTCGTCTTGATTGCGTATTTAAGGTCTAGGGCTTGAGATTTGGAGCTTGGGGCTAGGCTTTACTTAGTCCACCAGCTGCGTCCGAACCCTACATAATCCGACAACCTCAATTCGAAATCCCTTCCACCCTGCGATGCTGCAAGCGCCTGACAGGACCGAAAGCTGAAAAAACTCAAAAGAACACAAAAAGCAAAAGAAAAGGGCTAAGCCCTCGGGGGTGCATGCGTCTGGGGCCCAGGCTGCCGCTCCATGCGGTCGCTAAGTCCCAGACCCTCCTTCGAGACGGGGTGGGTCCAAGGTTGAAAGTAATCTGATTTAGGGCTTCGTCCCGTCATCCCAAGCTGCGGTCTTCAGGTCCTCATTCGTACAAACATCGGTCCTCCAGGTGCTGCAATCGCAGGGCGTACACGATGGGAGACAACACCTTCAATGAGCTGAGAATGAGTGTAACAAGCGTTTTGGGACGAACAACCCCCATGGAAAAGTGCTCCCCCGGAGGAGTCCCAAAAGGAGCAAAGGGGGTCCCAAACTGGCAAGGACACTTGCGCAGCACACTTTGCACTTAAAACGAGTCTTTGGGGCCTGCCCCAATCACCGCAACACGGAGGGGCCCAGACGTGAGAGGGGAAGACAGTTGTGGAATTCTGAGGGCTTCTTTGGCCTTACCTTGGAGAGCAAAGGAACCCCCCAAAATTGGGGTCATGTACCCTTTACTACAACCCTATATACTACAACTCCAATCAAGGTATATGAACCCTAAACCCTCTTAGGGTTCATCTGGTCCTTTGGCTCCTTGAGACCCGGGCATATGGGTCATCCAGGAGAAGCCTCGGTTTAGGGTTTAGGGTTTTAGGGTTTAGGGTTTTAGGGTTTTAGGGTTTAGGGTTTAGGGCTTGGGGTTTAGGGCTAAGGGTTTAGGGTTTAGGGTATAGGGTTTAGGGTTTGGGGTTTGGGGTTTGGGGTTTGGGGTTTAGGGTTCAGGGCGCTGATCCCAGGCTTCGCCCGAGCTCATCGCTGGGCTCTTGATCTTGTACTAAGTTGGTCTGTAAAAGGCTACTCTAAGCTGTTTACTACAACAAGCTCATTCTTTTGGTAACACGATGTAAGCTCCTTAAACAAGAACCTAGCTCAAAACTGAATTACACTGGCAGTAGCTGAAACTGGCCTTCAGGATTTTGAGGCTTTAGGGGATCAGGGGTTGACCCTGGTTTCAGGGCTTACCCTGGATCAAGTCTCAGTGAGGCTAGCAGCAGTACACTCATGTCAGGCAAGTTCCGAGTGTGATCTGCGCAAAGCGACACCAATCTGCAAACCAAACCTGCTGTCCTGGAATTCGAGCCAACTCTTTCGCCCATATATGTCTGCACTTAGGCACAAGGCCATTCATAGTTCACCGGGGTCATCGGACCTTGGGGAGTACACATCTGTGCTCGGTGGGGCTACAAGCCCTCTCTCTTTCAGCTCGGAGCATCTAACTTCCGCAGGTGGAGTATAGCAGACTCATTCTTAGACTCTTCACTGACAGTCTCGGCACTCAACTGCACCGTTCCCAAACGCAAGAACATGTGCTCAGGGTCGTTGGTCCACCACTCCCCAAGTTCGATGACCACGCACCATCTGCCGCAAAGGAGAAAACGGTGCCTCTCTGAACCCCCTTACCCCCCTCCCATCCCTCCTCCCCCCCTTAACTGGCCCTTAACCCCCCGCCTAGCCCCCTCTAACCCCCCTAACCCCAAAAGAAACGAAAAAGGGCGGGGCCGCTGGCAGGGAAGTAGGCAGTCAGCTCCTCGAGAAAGGCAGGCGGTGAGTGCTTCGTTGTCAAGCCCTGCATACACCAGTGGCTGAGTTGTCCAGCATCTTAATGTGGGGGATATAATGCCCGAAAAAGGTTAAAGGTTTCCTACTCTACTACTAAGTTAAGAAAAGGTAATCTCATGAACATACGCTGACATTGAGGGGACACTCCCCAGTTTTGTACCTCCTGTGCTGGTCCCCGCACAGCACAAAGCCAAACAGATTCGCATCACAAACCGCCGCGTCCTGGCATTGGTCCTTCTCCTTGTGTGGCATGGCCTTTGTTTGGTGCGCACACCAGTGACCGCCACTGCAGACCTACATACAGCATTGTGGCACCTAAATCCCAAACCCCATCATGTCATATGCAGTACATACATCAGGCTTTCCTTATCCACATCCTATCGAGAGACCCTAAATCTTAAAACCAGCGGACCGAGCTGCCACACGGAATGCACATGCTCCTTAGCTCCCTGTGGGAAGGAAGCCGCCCGACTGTGAAAGACACTAGAGAGAGTTCTTGCGGTGCATCTTACAGGGCTTACAGAAGCATCCTTTCAGACCTTTGCCATGTTGAAACACACGCTGGACTCGCACTACCGTGATGCCGGCGCTTGTGTTCTCTATCTTGCAAACTCGAACACCTCCATGAAGACAAAGGACAGGAACCCGCGACTGGAGGTAGTCGTACCTTGAGAACCCGAAACCTACCCTCTTGTAGACTCCTATTGAAGATTGAAAGCCCCTTATAGGCTTCTTGGGTAACCTACGGAATCAGGATGGTTGTGGGTTCTTAAGGTAGGGCGAAACCCCAAACCCTAAACCCTAACCATAAACCCTGAACCCTTCTGAGGACGCCTCTGGGGCCCCAACGTCTCTCAGGGCGCTGAAGAACTTTTGCCGCGTCACGCGTGTTGACCTTGCCACGCTAGCTTCGACGTAGGGTTCAGGGTTTCGGGTTGAGGGTTTAGGGTTTTCAAGGGTTGAGGGTTTTGGGTTGAGGGTTTAGGGTCTCTTCTCTGCATGCTCTTGGCGTCTTGACGGAAATCCCCCCTTCTTCAAGCGCCTATCCGCTGCGACGATGTACCCGAAAGCGACATCCTCCCAGAACCCCCCAACCACCACCCAAAAAGAAGGGTACACCCCAGTTTGGGAGCCCTAAACCCTAGACCTCGCAACCCTAGACCTTATAAGCCCGAAACCCCATAACCCAGAAGCCCTGAACCTAAAACCCTCTAAGCCCTAAACCCTTAGCTCATAATACGAGAGAAGCCCAAGCTGCCCCACCCTTTCAGGACCGGGCCCATCTGCCACCTCGAAGTAGATTCGGAAGATCCTGGAGCAAGGAGGGGATCCGAGGGGGACCCTAAACCCTAAACCCTAAGCCCTAAATCCTAAACCCTAACTGCCAATGATCCGGACTGTGGGGGAACAAGAGTTGCAAAAACATTTTTGGCAATACTCCAAGCACTAGCCCTCAAACCCTCAACCCGCTCTCTCTCTCTCAACCCCTAAACCGTTTTTGTTATTTCTGGACTCGCGTCCATTCGCCAAGGTAGCCGCACTTGTCGCAGCAACCTGCCCTTATGACCTAAACCCTTCTTCCCTCTAGCCCTTCTAGCGTACAATTATGCCCTGGCTCCTACTTGTGCCCTTCTTGTGTTAGGCACGGAATTGGGCTCAAACTCCAGAAATTTTGCGCCTCATCAGCTCAGCGCAGAGCGAGCGGTTGTCTCGCACCTGAAAGGCCCGGAGGGAGCTCCGAGCCGCCCTTGGGGGCCTTGAGCCCCTGAACCTTGGGATGTTCCCCCCATTTCTCGGGATTTTGCTCGGGGGTTACTAGAATCCCTATTTAAGGACTGCTAGTAGGAGGGGGAACCTCCCAACCTAAACCTCCAATGCCTACACACTCAACAAGAACCCTCCAAAAAAAAACCGCGGGTGCTGGACGCGCGCACATTCTTCACGTGCCCTAAGAGGTTGCACGTTACTTCCTCGACTACAGCAGACTAGCCAGTGAGAC